TGCTCAGGTGATGCCGACGACGAGACACACACATGGCTTGGCGGGCCGACGCTAAAACTCCGTATTAGTGTAGTCGGCACGAATGCACGCATGTGGGGCATTAAAATGAATCACATGTTCTCTTAATATCAAGTTGATGCTCTCTAAGTATTTACTGCCATCCGTTTTACGATTGTTTTTAAACCCGGTCGTTAACTCTTTATTGATGAAACATGTTAGGTTGCTCGAAGTCCATTGTCTGAGATTCTAATTATGCTTGCTATTGACTGGTTTCTTTTTAGGCAGGAAAGGGCAGATTAAACGCCAGTGTGTAGAGGGAGATATTGCCGAAATCGATGTGCGTTGCAGAGAAGAGTGCATACACGTAACTATTTCATGGCTATCGATCTAACTACCTATTTACGTAATTGTAACACATTCGCACACGCACACGCACACGCACGCACAAACATACACACAGGCATTACGCAAACACACGCACGTGGAGGATTCATGCTTAACAAATTGTAAATAAAACAAGGAAACACGATTATGCCGAAGTCCTTTTCGCTATATTGCCATATTACCTGAATGAGATGTTTACACACATGCACTTAAATATATATGTATGTATGTATATAGACATACATGTGTGTATGTGTATGTATAGGTATTTACACATACATGCACACATGTAGATTTTATATATATATATATATATATATATATATATATATATATATATATATATATATATATGTATGTATATATATGTATATATATATATATGTATATATATATATATATATATATATATATATATATATATATTATATATATATATATATAGTTCACACACACATACACTTAAGTATATGTATGTATGTATATAGACATACACGTGTGATATATATATATATATAGATAGATAGATATCATTTACTGATTCTATCCCCCCTCTTCCCATTCCCTTTGAGAGAGAGAGAGAGACAGACAGACAGAGACGAGTGTGTATGTAAATGCATATGCAATATAGAAAAAAACGTAGACATATATATTCCTTCTGATATAAGCAAGGTTTTCTCATGGATTAAACTGGACTCTGTTATAAATTTGCATAGTAAGGTTTTCTATGTGTCGTTGTTAGCATATTGTAGTGTACTGATATAACATTTCGCGTTTTTATTAATCCGTTAGTTTTGATTTATTCTTTGCAACTTTGTAGCTACTTGCATCTCCTGAATGACCACGCCAGTGGTAAATTTAATTTCCATAGTTATTAACACCGTTTTAACATAGCGTGTTACAAGTAATCTTGCCCAGTGTTGAAAGCATGGGGCGCAGTATGAAATGGTAGTTATAGTCTTGAAATTCCCGGGGATGTGTCACCTTCCTCGTTACACATTGTTAGGAAAATATTTTAGAACGAAATGGAATGTCTTCTTATAGTTTTATGTTAGTGAATTTCATCAGGATGTTAGGTTAATCCTGATATACAATCTTAGGCAATGCAATTACTTTCAACCAATGTTTACTTGACAACAATACTAGGTGGATGAGAAACGAAAATGCATTATATAACCAGGGGAAATATTGTCTACATAACTTCCCTCAGCTTGTTGTAAAGCATTTAACCATTAACCACCATCTCAGTCGTGGCCTTAACTGTGTGTTGTTTCAACCACTAAAGCTTTTATGTCGGTTTGTAAACATTTCAACCTGTTTTGAAGGTCTAAATGCAGCTGTCATGCGACTTGTTTGATGAGAATTGTATTACGTAACACATTAGTTAGTGATTTCCACATAGAGGCTCTTGGTGTTTTCATCGGATTAAATCTTGAAATAGTCGTAGCTGTAACTAAATACTTTTTTAGTAATTTCAAACTTTAGGTCGTAAGAGAGGTAGCCCATTGTTTTGAAAAAAAAGGTTACGAGAATATACTAGTTACAGCAAAACGTAACAGGTAAATTAAACGTTTTCATTTTCGATTTAATTATTGTAATTGTCCAGGTGTAAGTGTAGGCTTACAAGACATAAATTGATGTGTGTGATTAGTTGTTTGTGTGTGTACCGTTACCTAAAAGTTAAGAAACACATGCACGCACACGCGCACACGCACACATACACACACACATACACACACACATACACACACACACACACACACACACACACACACACACACACACACACACACACACACACACACACACACACACACACATATATATACATACATATATACATATATACATATATACATATATACATATATATATACATATATACATATATATATATATATATATATATATATATATATATATATATATATTATATATATATATACATTAACAGCGTCTGCATGTGCCCCTTTATGTCATTCAAAGCTTCATACCGGTATACTGAATTATGAACAAGCCATCGAACTGTGGTCCTTGTTCCCCACCGCTTCTCTGTATTTCTATCCACCAAAAAAGAGAAAGAAAAAATCTTCGAGCCATGAGTTGTTGGAAGATGAGTGTGATGAATAATTGTGGAGAATGCAGCCTCTCCTTCCTCCTTCGTCCTCGCCTATCGCCTGAGGGAAAAGGGAATTACGACACTGAAGGCGATAGGATATTTTTCTTTTAATATTTTTTTTTATTTTTTTATTTCGTGATGTCTGTAGGGGTTTAGAATTCTTTCGTACTGGGGAAGCGATCTACAGGAGACACTCTATGCTTAGTGATGTACATCTAAGGCTAAGTATTTGCTAAATCCTTCTTTAGAATTAAAAGAATCTTAATGGAATGACGCGACAACTATTTCCTTTCCATCTTCAAGGTCTGATCTGAAGATGAAATTTATGAGAATTTCGACACTGTTCGCTTCATTTGCAATTAAACCTGTTTCATGATTTTCTTTTTTACATGACACAGAGTCAACACAGTAGGTTTTCTTCATCATGAACACCACGAGTAAAAGGGATGTTATGTTTAGTCTCTCGTTTTTACATTTGCTTTTTTTAATCCACTTATCCCCATATAGCGAATATAGATGAAGCGCCACAGTGAATGATCACAGATTTAAATACGTATAAAGCTAAGTAAGTACAATATCTGAATTTGATTTGGTGTTAGTATTAAAACCATCGATCCAAAGTCTATTAAAATTGGAGTGTGAGCCCCTGTTAATCCTGAGTAATAAATAGCTTCCTTTTTACGCTGGTCATTGGCTAGTTTAATGATACCCCATATATATATATATATATATATATATATATATATATATATATATATATATATATATATATATATACATATATATATATATATATATATATATATATATATACACATATATATATATATATATATATATATATATATATATATATATATATTATGTATACATAAACACACACACACACATACACATACACATATATATATGTGTGTGTGTGTGTGGTACACTAGGCATCCTCAATTCAATCATACTTGGCCATTCTGGAGTTAAGGAAGCTCGATTTGCTTCACAATTGCTTCGCACGACCACCAGTTCATCTGATATTCGAAAAGAATGCGATGAACGGCAAAGATCAGGATTTTTCATTGCAAAGCGGTAGGATAAGCCTGCCGTGTATACAGATAATGACGGTGTAAATATAGGAAATCAATATCTTGTATACATATTGAAATCAAGATTATCAGCATCATCGGCATATCATTAGATAAATCACAATGGAGACGCGCCAACCTAACCCGGAAACGCAGCGAAGCACGCTTACATAACTTCGTCACTTCGGGCCAACCTTAACTACGGAAAATACACTATAGCCAGCTTTAACTGCGATGCTCCGTGTCTGGGTTGCCAAGGGCCCTCGATCTCGTCCTTGCTCCGAGGTCGATCTGGAGATCGATGCTCTCCGGTTCGAGGAGATTGATATCGCCATGACGACGACCAGCGGAATCGGACACCGGGGTTAGTTTATTTCTTCCTTATTCGCTTTCGTTTCTCGATTGACGACCAGCGGAATCGGACACCGGGTTAGTTTATTTCTTCCTTATTCGCTTTCGTTTCTCGATTGACGACCTGGGGAATCGGACACCGGGGTTATCTTATTACTTCCTTTATTCGATTTCGTTTCTCGATTGACGACTCGAGGAATCGGACACCGGGTGTTTTATGTATGACATTTTTTTTCTCTTTCATAGCAAATTGGTCTTAGATATTAACGTCATTTATTTTCTATGAGGCGCTTTTTTTTATAGAGAGGGATATTGCTAAGGAATAGAGGAAGTCCTGTCTTTTATTTATTTATTTATTTTTTTTAGATATTTGTCTTGATTATGACTTCGTGTGGAGTATGGCGCTTTCATTTACGAAGACCTTTTCATTAACCACAATACTACGTGAGAGAGAACTTCCGGCCAGTGCTTGATTCAGCGCTGAGATCTCGGGCTGTGGGGAGAGAGACCATCAATAATCGGGCAATGGAGTTCCTTTATTCAATAATTAATCAATAATACATATCACGATTGATAGGTACGATCAGTAAGTTTATTCAGTAATAAATACCATTGCGATTAATGCATGTGATGATTAATGATAGTAATCAATATTACAGTTATAAGTAAACTAGCCACCGGTGCCGGTCCCAAGCCTGGGTAAATAGAGAGGGTTGGCGGCAGGAAGGGCATCCGACCATAAGAAAAATATCTACCAGAACCTAGATTTTAGCGACCCCATATATGAATGGAACAAAACTACAGCAAAATAATGCAGTTATCAGTAGAGGGGGAATGTTTTCATCAATTACATATAAGAGAGAACAAATTTCTTTTCAGTAGCTTTGGCTAGTTAAAAAAAAAAAAAAAAAAAAATATTGACATTATGTATTATTATGTATCCGATACATTACAAATACAAGTTCGAACCGTATTCATGTTAACAAATGTAAGAATGTATTTGGCCAGTTTCGATTATATTTTCGTCAGAAATACGAAGATATAATCGAAAATACATCTCTTGTATGGTG